GAAGAATCTGGACTGTTACCTGTAATATCCTGTAAGTATTTAAACCATATTTTATTCGGCAGGTCTTTCGCTCATTGACAGAGTTTGACATACGTCTAAAGCTGAAGCCTGATTCATTCAACAGCGCTCTGGTCTTTGTAAAAGTACAGTTCTGATTTGGGCGCCACGGTAAATCTATCAGCTATCAGACGAGAGACGTGACCCAGCATCGTCCTCTCCACAGAAACGCAGCGATCAGAGTCAGAGCTTCGTCTCTGTGTCTCGGCTCCGCTAATTATCCGGCTCCACAATCTGCAGCTTCGCTCCATTTCTTCTCTTCTTCTCCTCTCTGTTTCCTGTCTTCACTATCAGCAGTGACAAATAGGTTTAATCTCTCCCAGCCTTCCACTTTCTCTGAAGCTCAACCACAAATTGGCTGCTGGCCTTCACCGCGGGCTCTCTCTGCCTCTAATGGAAGTGAATTGGACTCGGCCGTTTGGTTATAAATTGGTGGTAATCGTCCCGGGATGCAGAGCTGCTGTCTGCCGAAAAATGGGATCTGACTCCCTCTGTAGCCGTGGGCTCGTGTCAGCGATCCCTGTGAAGCATAGGTGTCAAACTCTGGCCTGCATACTGCATACAGTCCTGCAATAAGCTGTTACTGAACTATTAACTTCATGTACAGTATCAGTGTTTTGTATTCATTCGTTCTCCCTTAAAAAACAAACCTTTATCTCTTTGCGGGAACATTATTCCCACCACTGGACGGTGGGAATAATGAGCACATGAACGGCTCTATGACTTAAAGGGAGAAGGTCCCGCCTCAGGATGACAGAGGTCATTTTTTAAACTCTGAAAACGCTCCTCGCTCCCACACAGCCGCCCCTCCCCCACCTGTCCGAGCTTTCTTCCTGCTAAAAGGGAGTTTTTCCTTCCCACTGTCGCTGTTTGCTCAAACAGGGGCGCTGATGTTGGGATTTGATGCTATATAAATAAAACTGAATCAACTGAATTACAGTAAATCATATTTGTATCATAATCAAACCTTAAAAATCCATCCAAAGGCTAAAAATCATTTATCCAAAGATTTAGATTTAACAAAGATCACACTTAAAAAATAAGAATAAATAAATATAGTACAGAGGAGCTGCAGAGGCAGCGAAACAACAACGTGTTAAACTATCTTAAAATGCTGCAAAACTATGAAACTTAAGAGACTTAGGCTTAAGAGACCTGTTTCAGAGGCCGCACCGAGCCCTGGTGCACGGCGGCTTTAATGATCCATCGGTGAGCGGACATTTCTCCTTTGACAGGAACAAACCGAGCACATGAGCTGTTTTTGTTTCCATCATAATCCTTCAGACTCCCTAAATCACCTTCAGCGTCTTTAATTTTCGGGTTATTCTCTCACATGTTGTGCTGAGAGCTTCCAGCTCTGGCGTTAAAAATGCGCTTTTTCTCTCAGAGTAACTGAGCTGCTAACAACGTGCATCTTCGTTAGCGGCGGGTCAGGACTCCTCCTGCGAGCGTGTCTCTAATTAGAGGTTTTAGGCGGCTTCTCTGGACGCGTGACAATTGTATTATGATCATTCGAGCCGCACAAAAACTCAGCCAGCCAGCAGAGACGCCTGAGAGCTGCAGTCGAAGCTCCTCCACCTACACCATCCTCTCTGTGTGCGTCATGCTAATCCAGGCTAATGCTAACACTGATTAAGCAGCCAAACAAAATCCCATCACGCCTCCTGAACACAGAGCAGGAAACAGAGCGAGACGGCGCTCGACTCTCACACGTCCCTCTGTGTTCGTCTCTTTGTGCAGATTTTATAAATGAAACAGTTCAGACATGGAAGCAGCTCACCTGTGGGTCAGACAGGTACAGCGTCTCTGCAGGTGCCGCTGGCTCGTCGTCCTCTGAGCACGAGTCGAACCTGTCCTGGTTGTAATAAACTTCTGCAGCACGAGGATCCTCAGGGATATCTGCACACACGTACAGCAACAACTTCAACAACCACCACAGGAGAAGACGAAAGTCAAGCAACCACAAAGACAACAAGACAGCTGACAGACAGAAAATGACCAAAGACGCTCAAAATGAATTCAATAAGACAAAACAAAGACATGCAAGATGACCATGAAGAGACTTTTGTTTGCAGCATCCTGGTGATCAAAGGGTTAAAGATCCATGACCACGCCCAGTCACCTGTATGTTCACAGAGCCGCCATCAGTGACTCGTTGAGAAGAAACAGCATGAAACAGAGGAGCTGGGGTGGGTTGCAAAGCTGCTTGCAGATCACAGAAACTCCCTATCATTGGGTAGAAATGTTCAGTGTTTTACTTTAAGCTTCACCTGTAATCGCAGTGACACCACGCTGGCCTGTGTGCGCACTTCTATTTAAAACGCACACAGCCGAGGACTAAATGTTCTCCTAAAGTGAAACGAGAGGAAAGAGTGGATGAACAGAAGGCTTCCTAACCTCTTTAGTCTTGATGGATTTCATTTGTCTGCTTTTCCAGGCGCTGCGTCTGGGTAATTATTCCTGCTAACGAGCTCGGAGAATTGTAAAGATGGAGGATGTTTAATTCATGGTGTCTCTGAGGTCTGACTGAGCCTCTTCCGCCGCTATCAGCCAATCACACGACTGGGATTAGGGAGAGGGCGGAGCTCTGGGAGCGTACGTGAGGGGAATCTACCATGAAATAAAAGTTTGAACTAAAAGATGGAGAGAAAAGTCAGGCAGAGGTCAAAGACAGGCCGAACTCAAAGCTCCGCCGCCTCTACTGCGATTTCAATAAAAATAAAATGTTTCCTGTCTCCCAAATCACCGACTGTTCGAGTGTTCAGCACCTGGAAAAACCCTGTTACAGCTTATCTGCAACTTAAGGCAGTGATTTTACGATCATTTCCTTCAGTGCCTGCAGCACACTAAACGATTCTCCCACGGAGGTCGATTAACTTGTGGACAGCGTCACAACACGTGAGCTGGAATGGAAAAGGCGTCCCAAAACTGGACGCTCGTAATTAACTTTTGGTTGTTGCTCCCTCGTCAGGGAGGAAGTTTAGAGTAAGTATCTCAGGTGAGCGAAAGGCTGTCCAACAGATCGCTGTCTACAGCGAGGATGAGGATGCTGCACTGGTCTGTTGAGATGAAGACGGAGCCGAACGTCAGACCACAAACACATTCGTCTTTTCCTCGACCCCGACGACTCTTCCAGTTCCTGCTGCTCAAAAACATCCCCACAGCATGACGCCGCCACCTCCATGTGGATGGAGGATGACGTGGTGCTGAGTCAGGTGACCCAGTGTTGATGTTTGGATTCTTTGATATTTGGGGATTTCGTGCTTTTCTCATCATACAGTCTCTTCTAAGTTCTTCAGTGTTTTCTTTGTCTTCGTGTTTGTTTCACGTCGCACACTCAGTCGTCGCTCCGTGTCAGCTGCGTTTCCGTGTCGGCCTCTGGTTTCCTGTTTTATTTTGATAGTTCCATGTGAGTGTCTTTGGTTTTGCTTCCTCCCGTCTCGTTGTGTCCCTGCTGTGTTTCCTGTTCCCTCGTTGCTCTCTTGTGTATTTGAGCCTGTTTGTTGTCGCGTTGTTGTTTTTTTTTATATATATATATTATTTTTAAATAAACAACCTATAAGAACACAAATAATCAAAAATAAACAAATAATCAAAAATAAACAAATGGGTGTACCATCTAGTGTGTATATACATACACACATATACTTAGACATACATACACACACCTACATATGTATTCGCCTATACACTCATACATACTGACATACACACATAACAATTCAGAAATACATAATTACAGAGATTCAAACTAAATCGGGTCTCCTTGACAAAATGTTTCCATTTATCCCAAATATCACTAAATATGTCATATTTGAGTCTATTAATGACGGTAATTCTTTCCATTTTAAACATCCCATAAACATCTCATTCCAGTCATTTAGTGAATTTTCACACTGAGCCATTTCTTGGTAACAGCCAGACTCAGAATACCAACAACAGCTTGGACGTTTTATCTACATTCACTGAGTATAAATATAAGCTCATCCCAATTAAAGGGGAGTTGTTACTAAAATGATCTGTAACTGAATGAATCGATACCCAAAAAGTGTTGATCACTGGGCAAGACCAGAACAAGTGGAAGTGTTTTATTCCCACAGTTTCTCCAGCAGCTCGAGTGATTAGAATATGTTGTTGTGGCGTCGTTAATAATCACACACCCTGCTCTGGTTTTCCTCTGTTTCCTGAAAACTGTGTTTTCTAGTTTATGTTCGTTTCAGTTTTTCTTCATTGTGATGTTCCAGCGTTCTGTCACAGCACCTTTTTCAGTTCACCCTTTTGTTTTGGTCCTGATCCTGTTGCAGCCGTAACATGACGAGGACTGCACTGGCCTGTGATTGGTGCTGCCTGATTGGTCAGTGTACTTCCTAACCTTCCTCACCGCGAGCTCTGGATCGTGTTACATGATTCTGTGTGAATGACACAACGAGCTTTCAGTCACTGTCCTCCAGCCTCAGTCGCTCAAACACAACTCCTCGTCATCAGATGACTCAGGTGGTTCAGGTGTGTCCTACTGAGAGGACACAGGACATGCTGGAGTCAGAGCTCCTCGGTGTTCCTGTTGAAGACATGGAGGCAGCGGCGTCAACGACCGGGTGTCTGTCCTGTGTCTCAGGCTGAAGGACACCTCTAACGATCCACTGAGCACTTCCTCTCCACCGCTCTCCTCCTCGTGCGTTTAAATGCATCTGCTTCACTTTATCAACTTCCATTTTCTCTCCTGTGGTTTATATTTTGTCCCAGTCTCTCTTTTCTCTCCCCTGAACCACCGACCGGTCTCTGGAGGCCGCTCCTCCCTGATCCTGGTTGTGCTGGAGGTCTCTTGGTCCTGTGTGGCTCAGCTCAAACTGAGCTGAACGCTGATGCTTCTGTCAGAAACATGGAGCTCGGTAAGAACGTGATTTAAACAGAAGCAGCATCTCAGTGATGGACAAACGAGACTGGATTTCATTAGAATAAAACATGAGATCAGAGTGTTTTACTCAGTTAACATTAAACTGATTAAATTAAATCGTTCATTCTTGACTCAGGAGATATTTGACCAGCGGCTCCTCTGTGACATCAAGCTGTCTAGACACTGATTGGCTGAGCTCCAGCACCATGTGACGCGAGGCTCAGGTGTCGGCTCTGCTTCTGCTGAAGCTGAAAATATTTAGTAAGACCACAGCGGCTGTGACTCTCCGAGGAGCTCCCGCCTGTCGTGGGTCGTGTCGGAGCTCTCGGACCCTTTAATGAGAAAACGGTTTGAGGAGCGTGAAGCTGGAAAACTAAAATAAGACGATGCCGGTTTGGAAAAGGTGACGCTTTCAAAGTTTATTACTTAGAAATGTCTCTCTGTGGAGACACTTGCAGTTTCAAAGTGTTGAACCAGAGCCTGCAAATAAATCAAAAACTAATGATGAGTCGCTTTAAGGACGTGACCAGCGGGGTCTTTCCACTTCCTCCTCGCTGTTTCAGAGCAGTGACAAAGTTCAGTGATGGCTGCTGTGAAACGCAAACACTGGTCTTCTTTCACAGCAGCTCCATCTCCTCCAGCGAGATCGTTCCTGGGCAAGTTTATTTATAGCACAATTCAACAGCAAGGTGATTCAAAGAGCTTTACAGAGACATTAAAAACAAAAACAAATAAAAAGCAGGATTTAAAATGGAAAAAAAAAGGTAAGTTTTGAAATTTAAGCTTAAAAGTAAAACAGTGTGGATTTGGTGCTTTATTCAAATGCAGCTCGCTCCACAAACTAACTTTGTATTTTTGTCTGCAGCGTTTGTCTCTGAGCATCCCGTGGAGAGAAACTCTCAGGTTTCATTACGACTCCCTGAGCAGTTTGATGCAGTCGAACCTTTATGAACTCAGCATCGAGCCAAATGTCCTGTTGGTGGTTCCTCATCACTCAGCGTCTGTGCTGCTGAAGGAAGCCTGAAGTGTAAGATGTGGATCTGATCCTGAATATGTCTGTGAAGGTTCTCAGTCATCCAGGTCATCGTAGTCTAAGGAGCTTGCAAAGAAAAGCGTCTGGACTTCTTT